CCTTTCTCAATCCGAATGATTGTGAAATATATCTCAGAGAAATATCTGAGCACCACCAGAGAGTACCTCAATTTATTAAGGTTATTTTAGTTTCTCATACATATGTACAATTTACTTGTTCTTTTTTTTTCTCTTTTCTGTATTTTTATCGTAAGTCAACTTTCATTGTAAATATACAATTCAATTGTAGCCACACAGACATATAATCTGTATTCATATTTTGTTCTTAAGGGACAACAGTCCCAGAATAATAAAACATTTTTTTCATTTCATTTCATTTCATTTAGATTTAATATTTATTAACTATATATACTGACAAATACTTCATCCTAACCTATTGTATTTGTATTCATTATATTTTATCCTAACCTATTGTATTTATATTCATTATATTTTATCCTAACCTATTGTATTTATATCTGCTTTTTAACAATTGTGTATATTTAAATGTTTGGACTGGTTGATATGCTTTAATCAAGTAACTATTATTATTTTATTCACTATTGTTAGTTTTAGATTTTTTAGATAGTATTTTTAAACTTGTTTACCATTCTGTCTTCATGTTTGGTCTATGTTTTTAATCCATTTTAACTATTATTATTTTATTAAATACTTTGTTCTAACACTGACATAGAGTTTTATACCTTTTCACTATTTTGTATGTATGTTTAGACTGCAATAAGTCAGATAGAAATATATTATACTTATAGCAAAAGTCGATTATCCAAATTGATTGATTGAAATTTTCACTTGAGTAGTTTTATTCATCACTTTAATATTTAAGATCTCTAGTTCTCAACTTAACCTACTGCAAGTTGCTTCATTTGGTGCTTCTATTATATTTCCTCTTGAAGATTACCTTGCACCATATCCCCTATTATTACTGCAAGAAGTACAGAAATGGAGGAAGGTGAAAAACAAACTCCTTTTCAATCACGTAAAAAGCTGCATGTGTCTCCAGCACCCGATAGAGCAATAGTAAATAAAGGAGCACTGACAAGTGGCGGGGAGAGCAGCGAGATAGGAGGAGCCAAAGAGACATCACACAGTCAGCCTAGTTCTTTGAATAGTAACAGCCAATGCAGCCGTGACGTCACCGAATCTTATCACGATACTTCGCAGCAAACAATTACATCACCTGATCGGAAACATACGTGTCATGAGGCTATCGCAGAGAAGAATTTAAGTTATAAGAACGTAAATGAAGAAAACAGCCGAATAATATTAAAACTGCAAGAATTTTTACTGAATGCCCAAGCAAAACAAATAAGCAAGACGGCAGTTGAGACGGTTCTTGCGGCGGCACGTAAACTGGAGGATAACTGTAATAAGCTCATAATTGAAAATGCAGAATTAAACGGCGAAATAAGAGTATTAAGAAACCAAGCCTTCTGCCCTACACCTGTTACTTTCGAAACGCATGGTCTAGAGACATTAAAGCTGGTAATGAAGGACATAATAAATGAGGAGGTTAAGCCTCTCGTCACTGAAAAGGTCGATACCACGAAAAAACAATCTTATGCCTCTACATTAGTTGGGAAAAGACAGGAAACTCCTATTGAACCTCCGAGTTCAGTGTACATAGCCCAGACAGACCTAAGCAGGGAAAAAATATCCCACTGTACAGGAATTGAAACAGGGGATAAAGAAAAGTTTCACGCCTGCTAAAGAAGGAATCAAAATTAGAGGACTGGTAGAAACAACAAGGGGTGTAATAATTAGGACTCAAACAAAAGAAGAAGCTACGAGGCTCGCTCAGTCGGAGAGAATAAAAGAACTCGGCGCTAAAGTAAACTTGGAGAATAAACGCCTTCCAAGAATAATTATATATGATGTCCCAAGTGACCTGGAGCAAGAAAAGATTGTCGAACTGTTCTGGACCATAAATGCAAAAAAATTAGATCCTAATAAGCAGCACTTCAGCCTTGTTTTCAAGACAGGTCCAAGAGGAAGAGATACAGTTCATTGGGTGGCGGAAGTGTCCCCGGCGGTGAGAAATGAAATATTGGCAGAAGGAAGAGTTTTCCTGGATTGGTCATCCTGCAATGTGAGAGACTGGGTGGCAGTGACACGATGCAATAAATGCCTGGGTTTTTCACATATAGAAAAATTCTGCCCCACAACTGTCGTAAACTGCGGCTACTGTAGCGAAAGAGGACATGTTTCAGGAGACTGCCCAAAACAAAAGACCGGCGGACCGCCGAAATGCATAAACTGCAGTAAAACCAACTCAGCATCTAACCATCCGACAAATGACAAAGACTGCCCATCATACAAAAGAGCAATTGAAAGGTTAGTAATGAGGACAAAATATAACGACAATGAATAATAATTCTGCCCTCCGGATAGCCCAACACAATCTAAACAAGAGACCGCTTGCAATGTCAGAATTTAGACGCATGGTCTCACTAAATAACATAGATATTGGTGCTCTTCAGGAACCTCCTACTAAGAGAGGGAAGGTGTCTGGAACTGAACCGCAAGACCGCACCATTGCTAGCAATGGAAGTGGGTTACACGATGCACCACAGAGTGCAGTGGTGGTGTTTAATCATTGCCTTACAATTACATCACAGCCTGATCTGGAAGATAGATTTATTTCAGTTGCCAATGTAGATTACGTAGGCATTAACTTTGACTTGATCAATGTTTATGCAAAATTCGCACTCCCACTGGAAGACATATTGACAAAATTGCAGCTGGTAGTACGGAAGCTGAGTAAGAACATCTTAATAATGGGCGATTTTAATGGTCACTCAATTTTGTGGGGCAGCCGAAGAACCGATAGAAAAGGCGTACTGCTGGAGGATTTTGCTGCAAGGAATGGCCTAATCATTGTAAATGATCCCACGGCCTTGCCAACGTTTTCGGGATCCAGCGGAGAATCATTTATCGATATAACTCTGGCATCACCTGGCATTGGCCAGCTTATTAGCTTTTGGAAAGTCGAGGATTGGACCTGCAGTGATCACCGGGTGGTTTTATTTGAAATAAACCTAAACAATCGAGAAAAGCGATACCATAAGGAACGTTTTGTGACGGAGGGAGCTGAGTGGGAGCGTGTTGTTGAGAATATTACATGGCACCTAACAGAGCTGGAGCAATGCTTAATAATTAATGCCCCAATCAAACTAAAAGACCGAATTTTGTCTCACTTTGACCCAAGAATTTGGATCAAAGTGAGAGCAGACCTGCCCGCTTGGTTACCAATCCTGGTAACCGAGCCCTTTAAATTCGTGGCATAATTTTCAGTTAGAAAATTGGATGTACCGCTGGTATAGGGTTGCCCTAAGGTACAGCGGGGGGAAAGAAGGAAAAAAAAAAAGAGAGAGAGAGAGAGAGAGAGAGAGAGAGAGAGAGAGAGAGAGAGAGAGAGAGAGAGAGAGAGAGAGAGAGAGAGAGAGAGAGAGAGTGAGTGAGAGAGAGAGAGCCCTAACTTGTGAATAGTTATTAAATTAATACATATTCTTAAAGGAAATTTAATATTAAACAACTTTCTTCTGTATGAATTTTTCGTAAATGAAAAGATAAAGAGTTATCGAGTCAAACAGTGATAAAAATGCGAGGCAAAAACAATTTTTTTCGAGTTAGCGAATTACGAGGATGGATATCTCGAAAACTAAAGAAGATGGTGAAGAAATGAATATAATCATTTCCGTTCCAATTATTGTCCGCTTTTATTTTATATCGAACATTGTTATTGTTAGAACGCTTAGTTTTTAAGATATAAGTGAAAACCGAAAAACTTTTTGAATCCTAATTTTAAATTTTTGACTTGAATTCCATGTAGAGTGCTACCAATGGGTAGTTCCTCAACATGTGTTCCATGTCATTATATCCATGTGCGAATTTACCAGATGTATTTTTTGTATACAGTTGTAAATATCATATAAATAAATAAATAAAAAGAATTCCATGTGTATGAGGTAACTGACTATTATTTCATGTCTTAGGACAGTGAATACTATAAATTTAAAGTGTTGGTAGATTTCTATATCTATAAGCCATCTCCCTATATAAGTTTTATACCTGTCTAGGGTCTCTATCTATCTCCACCTGGCTCCCAATTTGTATTCCAGCGGCTATATGCTGGTAGACATGTGTCTTTCTTATCAGGCCTATGGACATTTTAAATTTATAAGGAGAAACCTTAGTATAAAATAAGATACCTTTGCCACGGGCTCCCTTACTTATTACTAGGAGGGCTAGGTAACTCGGGAATCGTTGCCCCAAGGTGAAAAATAAGATAAACTTTCATTGGTATTATGTGCCATAGTTTCGACCTTAGTTATAGGCCTTCTCCTAAGACAGTAACTAGATTAGAATTAAACCTGGTTGAGGGAAGATATAACTGCGCATAGAAAAGAGAATCATTGCTTGTTTTATTAATTTGATGATGTCAATACAAGAAGATAATTAAACTTATTTTATTGTTTATTAATAAGAATAATATTGTTCTGAAGATAGGGATATTAATTCGAAACGTAAAATATGATTGGAATATGTTAAATATTAATGAAGAAAACATGGAAGTTTTGAATGCCTAGGCCTCCTCTTACTTGTTTTATATCTGACGGTACCTCGAATCATTATCTTCTAATTTAAATTAAAAGAAAACAATATCGGTAAGGGAAGAATTAAGATATTTTACAGTAAATACTTCGTAGAAAGCAATCCATGTTTGGTTATGAACATCAAGGTAGAGGGCGTTGCTTGATGCAACAAAACAATTTAGAAGTATTGCTGTTGTAGCTATGAGGTTACTTCACTAACTATATCGAATAAACAAGCTCCTGTTTTTGGCGTATCGATATATTCCTTCTCTTATTTATATTCGTCTTTCGATTAACTTAGCTGCTGCCTTAAGATTAATCTTTGATGTTTCTTTCGGTTGTGTCCGTTGAGAAGTTTTTCTTCTTATTATGGTACTGATACATATCTGAAGCAATTAATGTAAGATTATGTTCTAATTATAATAGACTATTTTACCTACACACCAAAGTATTAGTGATTAGTATTTATCCAAAAAAAAAAAAAAAAATGACTGATGACTTCTTAAGAGGTAAATTATGTTTTATACAAAATTATTTCATTTATGCATGTGTTTAAAATTAGAGTAGTATGTATATTACCAAATATCCAGTTTTCATGAATGTATTTATACTATTATTTAATTGTTTATTTAAAATATTTGTTCCATTTATTTTGTTTTTTTTGTTATATTTCTTTGTACCCCAATTTATCAATTCCTTGATTTAGTTGTGTGAATGAGTTGGAATATTGCAAATATTACCAGTTTTTGGTTTCTCTATTAATTAATTGGCTTAAAATAATTTAATTCATTAGTGACTTATGATCTTACGTAGTTTTCTTATTCCTCCTGTTACTTAAAACTCGTTACTCTTTCACTATTATTACTGTCATCTGTTGAACTTATTTTCTAGTGAAATATTACTAATTGATAATGAAAGTGATTCATGCTGTTACTTGTTTCGTTATTGTGTTAAAATATTTTCAGGTCTTTCATTTTTGCAAATTTTAAAGTGGTGTTTTCCAGTTTGCTCTTTACATGTTATGATTATTAAATCGGTTGCATTATATTGTGATAATGACCTAAGTATGTTCAATCCAATGTTTTTACATTTTACATTTAGAAATTTTCATTGCCTTTATTTTTAAAAAATTGTCTACTAACAATTGTTTCAGCCTTTCATCTTTCTTATTCGATCTTATACCAGTTTTTGTAAGCAATCACTTCCATATGTAGCTAATTTGTTATCCTAAATAGTCTTTTTTGAAATATTTGTGTTTGAATTTGTTTCATTTATCAAGCCACAAATATGGTTGATTGGCTTCATACTATCTGTAGAACATTACTGTTTGTATATTTGGATTTCTATGTTTTTATATAAGACATTTTCAATGGCTAGACCTACCCTTGTTAGTGTTTGCCTTATACAATTTTTTTTTTCCTAATCATTTTGAATGAATTCCATATTTGTTTTCAAATATAAATGTTACCTCACCATTACTAAGTTATAAACAGTCAATTGGTTAATAAAACCACCAATTGCTTGTACTTGATTCTTTGGTCGAACTTTATTTTTATTATAAAGTTAATATGCTGTTTCTGATTTTTTGGTTGAAAACTGTTCAATCATTTTTTTTTTGCTTTTTGATCTTTATATGTATCATAATGTACTGTAGTGTTAATATTCCTATGAAATATAAATTTTAATTTATTTATGAATGTTTATTTGTTTGCTTTCTAAACTTTTAACTATTCAAATGGAATGTTTACAACACTAAAACTAACAAGAATTTATGTATCACTTTCCGATTTTTACTTTTAATCAACATTTTAAATTATCGAGTGTCATATTCATATTTAAAAAGTGATTTTGTTGTTTATTTAAAAAAAAAAAAAATTATTCATTATATATTTCAATAAATAATTGTTACAGTTCAAGTAGTAATTGATACAAAAAATATTTAAGTATGTCCTAATTTGCTGAAAAGTCAGAGATGAAAATAAAGAAAGTTATGACAAAAATATCAGATTAAAGTTTATTACTAATAAACTAATATAATAAAAATTAAATTCATTTTAAAAAGAAAGTTTAAGTTGCTACAATATTTACAAAATTTATACTTAATGTTCTTATAAATCAAATTTGGTACCAATATATTCGACCTAGTACAAAATCTTTCCACTATTATTTATAAATTTGATTTTTATATTTGTTAACATTTAATAGATCTCGTTTCTGATCTATAAATAACAAAGTGCATTGTTTTTATTTATTGAACGATTCATAATATGTAATGTCTTTTAATAATGTACCAAAAACATATGTTGTTCATGTTTTCTGCATGATGAGTGACTATATATTAAATAAAATCAGATAATTTATTTAAATACAGAATAATTATATAAGTATTTTATTTTAATTCATTATTCTTACTGAAATCATTTGTCTTTGATTAATAAAGATTAGTACTAAATTTAACAACTTATTAATTGTTGTTGTCAGTAAGTTGCAATTTATATATTATTCAAAAAACATAATCATTACTGGTGGTATTATATATGTCATTTACAAATATAACGCTAAAAGTGATAAGAGCCTTCTTCATAAGTAATTCCCAATACTGGAATCACTCACTGGGCCATTAAATCTCTTATTGACTGTAGATGAATAACTATCTCTGATCATCAATCTGGCTATCTTTAAATATTCTACTGGATATTCAGGGCCACTTTCTCTAATCTCATTGATTGAAAACCAGCACCATTCTTGAATTATCTACACCTTTCGCTCTTTTATTATTGTTGACATTTAAAATTATTTTAATAATAAATCTTACAAATTATCATTAGATTATTACTTAAAATTGAATTTTGCACCTACAAAATCCAAATTTGGTCTCTGTTGAAAAACGAAAAAATTCTGTATCTTTTTTTAATATATCAATATTATTTTTTATCATAATTTTCCTTTTACTTATTTTATATTAGTTATTATTCATTCATTGCATATTTCACATTTTGGAGAGAGGAAATATGTTTAGGAAGGTATTAGGGAAGATAAAAATTCTTAGTAAAATTATTTAAACTGAGATTTGAGTATGAAAACAAAGATGACATAAAACCAAAACAGAAGAAGGGCCAAAACAGAATGCCTATGTCCGAAGTTGAGGTTCTCCAGGAACTCATTCTATCTAGGTTTTGGAGAAATCTTATTTATAGCATGGAATATATTTAGTTCATGGTATCGCCATCTATACTACCTGATTTATCAGAGGGATTAAATCTTTGTTGTTGTTCTTTGGGTGTTGGTTAAATCTTTCATGTTTTATAACCTATAAATCGCGATTCAAATTTTGGAATTCCTTCTAGCTTGTGCTATAATAACTGTATGCTCAAGAAGAGAAACAGATAGTTATTATTAAGTGGTCACTGCCTAGGGTTTCATTAGCTATTGACCATAATAGTATTAGTTCCGCAGTTACTCAGGTTAAATCTGTGATGAAAGGTTTGTATTCTGAACTTCCAAGGCATGTAGCTTAGCCAGATTCATTAAGTAACACAATCGGCTGTTGAGATAGTTGTTTAATTATTATATTGCCACTTGGGGAGTCTCTTAAGCTACCATAAAATTTGGACTCGGCATTAAAATCCTTTTCTATGATTACAGAGCAGTTGCTTATTTTTTCAGGAATCAAGAAAAGTTCAGCAGTAAAGTGGGAGGCGCTTGGTCCGACAGATGAGGAAATGTATACAGAAACGAAACAAATTTGAGGTTCTAACTTTGTTGATTGTAAAGCAATTTCTTCTACAGGACCTGTATTGTCTAATGTAGTTCTTTTGAATTCTATTGAGTGGTGAATGAGAATTCCTACACCACCATAATTATCATTCCTATGTTTTTTTCCTCTGAATAATTTCTAGATCCATATTTCTTTGTTTTATTGAACCATGTTTCTTGATAAAACACTACATGTACCTAATATATGTTCATGTATTTGATTAGTTCATGAAATTTAATATTAATGCTCCGGCAGTTGAACCAGATGATTTTTATATTATTAAAACATTTGATCAATGTTGGTCTTGACATGTAGAATTATTTTGATAAGGTAGAAATATGTGTATATTGAAATCTGAAAGTTCTAAAATGTAAAATACTGAGCCGCTGTTCCTGAAAAATGTTTGTAGTCTTTTAGTTGCTATACTCATATATTTCTTAAGAAAAAATTTTTCCAAGATCGAGTGTGATTGATATTGTTATTACCATAGAAATTTTGTGTTTCTATGTGTGAAAGCCATAGGTGTCTCGCAATCGAAAGGTTACCTTTAGGAACGTTTATTGATAAATGTACTAGCTGGCTGCAAACATTATATATCACTAAACAAATCATTAATATATTTAAATGAGGTAAAAGTCTAATTTTTTATATTTTTTCCATAGGAATTTCTTCAATATAAAGTTGTACTTAATCCTGTTAAAGTTTTTCTCCAACAGTCGTCTACCAATCTCACTCTATCTTTTTATCTAACTAAGGATCTTCCTCTCCTTCTACCCTCTGCCTCCCAATAAGCTTTGGTATTCTATTGTCATTCATTCGTCTCACATGGCTATACCAAATGAGTTTCCTTTCTTCCACCACCTCTGGGTTATTTCGTTTTACTTTCAATTTCTCCCTTTAGTGATATTTCTGATCTTATAAATAAATAAAATATTATAAAGGAAAGAAGAAAAAAATATAATATAAAATTATAAACTACTAATTATTTATAAATTGTAAAATTGAAACAAAGAAATTTTTAAGCTGCTTATCTTAGTTGGCTGAAATGCAGCTGTAGATCTTGTCAATGATGTATGTTGCGTACATAAGGATAGGGTTCTCTGTGGCCAGAGATGGGCATACTTATATTCAAAAATATACATAGGAATAGCATTTATATTTATGATACTTATTAATATATTTATATTAAAAAAAAGAAATATGAATACAGATGATTCGTATTCACAGCTGTAGATATAAATACTGCCGTATTCACGACTGTAAAAGTGAATACGGCTGTATTGGTGATTATTAAAATGAATATGCTTAAAATTGCAGAAGTGGATGGAAATACTTTCACATAACCTTATGAATGAATACTCTCATTCATTGAATAAATATTAACTTCCAGTCAAGTTCTTCTTCTTCAAGCAATTCTTTCTTTACTAAGTCCGGTTATTTTACATGTCCATTTTATTTGCCTCAACTTAATCTCAATTATATTAACCAGGTACAGTTGGCACATTTTGTGTAGCCGCCTAAATTCTCCAGTTGACTCATCCTTCTTCGGTCCGAATGTTGAATGAATAAATGAATGATGAAAATAATTTTATTATTCTGGGACTAGTGTCCCTTTAGAACAAGTTGCAAATACAGAAAATATATTAATATTCTGGTGTGTCCATAAAATACAATTTAATATTTACAGGATGATTAGGAATACAATAAAATTATAGATAATAAAAAGATATAAAAACATGTATAAACTAAAGT